CATCAGCTTACATGTAGTGACTAGTCAGGAGTGGTGACTAAGGCCCTGGACCATGAAAGTGATGGTGGAATCAGGGAACACTCACAGTTGGTATCACAGGGACCCAGTGATTGTTTCTAGGGTCCGAAGGGGAGAAATGTCAGATGCTGCCTGGGTAGCAGCTGAATGAAACCTCAAGTAGAGGAAGTATTGTGCATATTTGAAGTAGACTACACGTAACAGTGGAAGGGATAGAATTTGAAGGTAAAACAGATTTTTCTGTACCTTTTCCTTCCTGTAAAGAATAAATGAGATGATCTACTGTGAAAGGCCTAGAGCTTGCAGGTTTGAAATGGCCTTGAGTGAATGACCTAGTGACAACAGACTTCCCAAGTAGTGTCCAGGGCAACTGGAAGTCACAGGACACAAGTACAGGACAGGGCAGGCCATGGGTGGTTCTTGTTCCTGGAACAAACTGGAAGCTAGATTAGAAAGCTGATGCTAGTTTGGGGGCTTGGCATGAGAGGTTGCTGGGGTCAGAATGAAGGCTACACAGAGTCAGAAAGGGACTATCAGGTAGCAAGATGCTTAAGTTTCTGACTTACCTATGATATTTTGTGTAGATAGAAGAAATAAATGAGCAAATTAGAAAAGAGAAGGAGGAAGCTGAGGCTCGTATGCGGCAAGCATCTAAGAATGCAGAGAAGTCAACTGGTGGAGGTGGAAGTGGCAGTAAAAATTGGTCTGAAGACGATCTGCAGTTACTAATTAAAGCTGTGAATCTCTTCCCTGCTGGAACAAATTCAAGGTACTAGTTTGACACCTTTTCCTGAACACATGCGGGTTACAGCAGGAACTTCAGAGATGGGCTTTCCACTAGATCCTGTGCCATAGAAGTGTGGAAAGCACAGGTACACTTCACACTGGCCAGTCCTGTACAGTGTATTACTGCAAGATGCTGCATCGGGTTCTGGGGCGAGTACAGACCACCACCACATGGGAGCCGCACTGTCCTGTTGGCTGGTGCTGGGCTTCATGTTCTCTGGCGCCCTTTCACAGCCTTGCTGATACGTTTCACTCCAGCTGAAGCCTCAAAGTCTGGGTGTGGAACTCAGAAAAGCTTTGGAGGTCAGCCTCCCTCATTCTATAGATGAGGAAAGTAAGGTTCAATTTTCAGAATGAATTCTCAGAAAATACTAGGATGCTCTAAAAAAGTCTGTGGAAAGTGGAATTAAAGAATTCATTTATTTTGGTGCAAAACCATTTGGAAGTCCACACATATAAAGGGTCTTCAAGTAGTTCATGGAAAACTGAATGGTTTTCAAAATCCTTTTGCACTGAAGTAAACTAACCTTTTCATCCTGTTTTCCCCCTGAATTTTCAAGTGTCTTCATAGGCATTACAGTGGCAGTAATGCATGTATGGTTTTATTTCTGTTGATTTGTACAGACTCTGTAAGGTTTTGTATGAACTTAAAACCAGAATTATAGTTGGTTTAAACATATGAAAAGCAAAAATTATAGTCCAGGAATAGTAATTTAGGGAAGTAGCATAATTAGACCACCAATTTGGAGCGCGTACCATTCTCTTCTGCAGTAGAAATGTAACGACTTGGTTTTCCTTAGTACTATTACATGATTATGTCCATTGCTCTAGATGGGAAGTTATTGCTAATTACATGAACATACATTCTTCTTCTGGAGTCAAAAGAACTGCCAAAGATGTTATTGGCAAGGCAAAGAGTCTCCAAAAACTTGGTGAGTTAGTTTTCAGAAATCACTTCTCTTAAACACATATTTTTTTAAGTGACCTATGCAATTACTGAAAGAGTAAATGAGATAATCTGTTCTGCATTGAATTCTTTTTCATTTCCCAGACCCTCATCAAAAAGATGACATAAACAAAAAGGCGTTTGATAAGTTCAAAAAAGAACATGGAGTGGTGCCTCAAGCAGACAATGCAACACCTTCCGAACGATTTGAAGGTAACGAAGTTTTGCTTCTCTGGAAGTAGAAAGATAGCTGTGTATCCAGGCAAGCATTTTCCAGACGGTCACAGCTTTACTCCTACTAACCATTACTAACTGAGAATTAATAGTGCTTTCATTTCAGGTGCCATGGGAGGGGGTACCTGGGTTTATTTTAGTCCTAGGTTTTACAAATCGGAGTTAGAACGGCATGTTTGGTGAAATGTTTACATTTGATGTGACTGACTAGATTGCACAGGGATCCTTTCTACTCTATTTCACAGTAACGTTTAAACCTGTTAGAGTGTTCACATTGTCTTGAGTATCCTAGACAGCCTGGCTACAAGTCAAGACCCATAACTGAGCCATGAAATCAGTTTTGTGGTTTATGAATGGGAAACATCACCAAGCATTATACCTATAACATAAATGTCTATTACTTGTGAAACTTGTTTGTGTGCATTTTGGGATGTGATGTATATTTTTCTTACTACGACAAAGTTTGAAGAAAGATCTTTCACTTAATCTTTTTAAAAAAAGGAAAACAGTAATTATATTTATTTGAAAGTCAGAAAATTAGAGGGAGGGAAGTCTTCCACCCGCTGATTCACTCCCCAATTGGCCACAATGGCTGGAGCTGAGCGGATCTGAAGCCAGGAGCTTCTTTTGGGTCTTCCCACGCAGGTGCAGGATTCCAAGGACTTGGGCCATCTTCTGCTTTCGCAAGCTATAGCAGAGAGCTGGATCAGAAGTGGAGCAGCCGGGACTCGAACCGGCATTGATATGGGATGCTGGCACTGCAGGTGGTGACTTTACCTGCTATGCCACAGTGCCTGCCCCAATGTTTTCCTTCCTTAAACTAATTTCCGGTGTACTTTCTAGATCAGGTCCAAAGATGTTTTTGGATTAAAAGCTAACTACACGATAAGCTGTCCCTGTTTTATAACAGACCCAGCTTTATCTTTCCTGGTCTGGTTTACAATACCCAAATTTCAGGTAGAAGTTATAGAACGATAATTTTCTATAGAGCATAAAAATCATTCTGCCATTGCAAAATGTTTGAGTGAGGCAACAAAGTACAAGTTTCTGAACACCTGGAAGGCATTTCTCAAGAGGCTTGTTCCTTTATCTCCTCCACAAAATCCAACCTCAGCACACCTGGTGCCGTGGTGGAGACAGACCCTGATATTTGTGCCCACAGCCCATCATCTGACATCACTGACAGTGATGCTGCTGGCTGTGGCTTCCCTCTTTTGCAGGTTTAATGGGAAAGCACCTGCCTGTTAAATTATACCACTGAACAGGAGGCTGCCGCTATGTTTTGAACAGTGGCTTCTCATAGGAATTGTGCAAAATGATGTTGTGAAGTAACTGAAGAACAGGCAAAATAGTTGTATGTAACTTTCATCTTTTTTCTGAGAAGAAATGAAGTAGAGCTATGGTACTGGGGGCTTTAGATCAGTAACAGGGCTAGAATTAAAATCTGCCTCAGGAAAGCTTTCAGTCTGCCTTCAAATACAGATCCAAGTCCCCTGGCTTGTCTTGAGGAGGTGGTACTTTTCTTTCTTGGGAAGTAATCATATATGCTATGGCTGTTACGTTTTTATTACATGGTCTGAAATAATAAATCAGTCTGTGAATTTAGAATAACCAAATCAGCTTTTTTCCACTTAACATTCATTTTACCTACAGTATGGGCTAAACCACATCCTTAAGAAATTGAGACTTTACAAAAACTTGGTTAAAAGAAGTACATTAACAGTTTCTAGAGGTGGTTAGCAGTGACTCCATGCAGTTTAGCATATTTATTGAAAAGAACATCAGACTAAAACCAGATCTCTAACTTCAGCTTGCCTCTTTAGCACTGAAACCTTGAGCACCTGGCTTAGTATTTCAAGGCTTGTTTTTTCCAGTGTTAAACAAAATTGGTTTTCAAGGGCCCATGCAGCAAAACGTTCAAACTGTGAGGCATGGCTGGCACCGCAGCTCACTAGGCTGATCCTCCGCCTGCGGCGCCGGCACCCCAGGTTGTAGTCCCGGTTGCCCCTCTTCCAGGCCAGCTCTCTGCTGCAGCCAGGGAGTGCAGTGGAGGATGGCCCAAGTGCTTGGGCCCTGCACCCGCATGGGAGACCAGGAGGAAGCACCTGGCTCCTGCCTTCGGATCAGCGCAGCAACCATTGGAGGGTGAACCAACGGTAAAAAAGGAAGACCTTTCTCTCTAACTCTGTCAAAAAATTAAAAAAACAAAAACAAAAACTGAGGCAGCCCAATCCTTGAAGGAACCCGAACTTACAGTGGTGTAATTCTTCTCCTTTTTTTTTTTTTTTTTGACAGGCAGAGTGGACAGTGAGAGAGAGAGACAGAGAGAAAGGTCTTCCTTTGCCATTGGTTCACCCTCCAATGGTTGCTGCGCTGATCCGAAGGCAGGAGCCAGGAGCCAGGTGCTTTTCCTGGTCTCCCATGGGGTGCAGGGCCCAAGCACCTGGGCCATCCTCCACTGCACTCCCTGGCCACAGCAGAGAGCTGGCCTGGAAGAGGGGCAACCGGGACAGAATCCGGTGCCCCAACCGGGACTAGAACCCGGTGTGCCGGCGCCGCTACGCTAGGCGGAGGATTAGCCTAGTGAGCCGCGGCGCCGGCTACAGTTGTGTTCTTAAACCCAACAGTCTAACTGAACTATACTTCTCGGATTCCTCTTCTAATCATATTTAAATGTATAGTATTAGGTTGCAAGAGACCAACAACAAAAAAACCTTTGAAATATTTAATGGTGGGGGGAATGTCTGCTACCTCAAGTTTTTCTCTATCTGTACTGCACATCCCTTCACTTAGCAAGCTACTTGTGTGCAAAAATTTCAAACAAATCAGGATAAGCGTTTTCAGATAAAAACTGTTGTTAAACAGGCCCATGCACAGATTTCACCCCATGGACGACGGAAGAACAGAAGCTTTTGGAGCAGGCTTTGAAGACATACCCAGTAAACACACCTGAGAGATGGGAGAAAATAGCAGAAGCGGTCCCTGGCAGGACAAAGAAGGACTGCATGAAGCGATATAAGGTTGATGACTGAGTTTATAGATTCCGTTATGATGTTGTAACACTGTTCTAGATAGCATTTTGATTATGTCTGTTAATTGGAAAGAGGTTACGGTCGCCTCTTCAATATCACAGTAGTATGGGGCCAAAGTTATTACAGAGAAATGCCTACCTGAGAAACTTTCTCGCCCTGGCAAATTAGTGAAATCAGTCTTTTCACTAGTATCTGAGTTCTTACGTATTCCACTCTGTTCTTAAAACCCCGCTTTCCTAATTTGTCGCCCTTTCTCCCTTCCTAGGAACTTGTCGAGATGGTAAAAGCGAAGAAAGCTGCTCAGGAGCAAGTGCTGAATGCAAGTCGAGCCAAGAAATGACTTAATGACAATCTTTGTGTGTGCATTTTTATAATAAAACTGAAAACACTGTACCAATTCTCTTTCTTAAAGCCATACTTACTTCAACACAATTTTTCAGATCAACCATCTGACAGAACAGCCTTCAGGGCGGTAACATGTTGTGAGAATTATTTTTGTCTTTAGGTATTGATAAAAATCTGTAGGTCTCTCTAGATATCGTTCCAGAGGTCTTGATTTAGGAGCATGTTAATCATGAAGCCAGCGCATGTTATGGCAAATCTGGTTAAAATCTGGTAGTTGCTCAATGGGACCTACAGATTGAAAAGACAGCAATTACAACTGCAAACAAAAGTGCTTAGCCAACTTTCTGCAAATGAGGAGAGGGGCCAGACTCACCAACAGCAGCAATAGCTGGACTCTTATCATAAATGTATCTGGTGCATACTTCTCGAACTGTCTCCGCATTCACAGCCTGAAAGAAGAGATTACCATTCCAAGCTTTTGTAGTAAGGACACATTTTGCAACGAACTCTTTAAGGCAAGATGTAGGATACACATGTTCAGTTTCTGAAATAAGCAGGAATGACTTACATCAATTCTTGCTTCAAGCTCAGGAATAGGAATTCTTCTATTATAGCATAGCATTTGCCTACCAATATCTTCACAAATTGGAGTTGAACCTGTTTCAAGAGAAGGAAAAAACTAAGCGGTGGACTACAGATGACCCATATGAAAATAAAACTTAAGGGTTGTAGCTCACCATCAAGCTGCAGCAACATGTTTGTTTTCAGAAGATTTTTGGCTCGTGCAACTTCACTTTCAGTGACACTTGTACAGAGTCGCATCCTAAAAACATTTGCAAGACTGGTATCACCAAATAGTTGGAAAGTAAATAGTACACAACATAAAAATGACTGCTTTTAGTAAAAAGTTAAATTACTAATCCCCATAAAAACACAAGCTAAAATACTATTTTCCTTGCAGAGGAAGGTTTGACAGGATATAAAATAGGCTGCCACCATTTTGAGAAATGCTGTAATCTCGACACTTCACCAGTTTCCATCTGGTAGGGCCTGGTAAACTAGGGGACAGGCCTGTGGGCCGTTCCATTCATTTCTCAAGAGAAAATGTTGAATCTAACTTAAAACAACTAGAAATTACATCTCAGTTGACTGGATTTAGCTTCCCAACAGTGATGGCTCAAGTAACTGGGGTCCTGTCATGCATGCAGAAGAGGTGGATGTAGTTCCCAGCTCCAGGCTTCAACTCCAGCCCTGCTGTTGCAGGCATTTCAGGAGTATGCCAATGGATGACAGCTCAATCTGTCTATGGAAGTTCTCTGTATCTGTCTCTGCCTCTCAGATAATCACTATAAAGTATGAAGAAACAGGCCTGAAATAATAATACTAGACAAGATTTAATTTACTCAAAGCTATTTTCTCACCATTCTTTTTGAACAACATGTAGCATGTCTGCAACTGTGCCTGGTTCACAAACCGTATAGAGTCCCCACAGTCCGGTATCCGTGTAAGAAGTGTTGAAGGACTGGAAGCTATGGCACAGGTTGCCATGACAGGTGAGCTGAGCCAGCTTGCTAGATAAATTCTGCAAGGGAAAAAGACGTCCAGGAGAATTGTAGGTCCATGTGTCCAAATTACCAGAAATGAGCTGTCTGTGTGGGAAACAGTGACTGCCCTGGCTGTAATAGTTAATGAGACTGAAGAGCTGGGCTTGGGGCAGTACTGTGGTGCAGGGGTTAAGCCCATGAGCATCGTGTGAGTGCCAGCTGCTCTGCTTCCAACCCAGCTCCCTGCTAATGCACCTGGAAAAGCAGTGGAAAATGGCCAAGTGTTTGAGCCCCTGCACCCACATGGGAGACTAAGATGGAGTTCAGGCTTCTGGCTTTGGCCTGGCTGTTGCAGCCATTTGGGCAGTGAACCAGTGAATAGATCGCGTTCCCTGTGTCTTCCTGTCAGCTCTGCTTTCCAAGTAAGTAAGATATTAAGATGAGTTAGGCTCATCTGGCCCAGTGTAACCCTGGACAAATTTATGACTAAATGCAGTTAAGTCCTTGTAATAAATGTAGTAGCCGTACTTCTAAAACAATACACTGCTGTATCAACCTATTTTGTAGGGCTCACTCTTGGCAACATATACCTAAATATTCAAAATAATACTGCATGTGGAATCTGAACTATGAAATGCATTTCTCTGAATACAGACAAATCTGTAATAAACTTATTATTTTGTATTTGACTTACAGAAGAGATAAAAATACAAATAATTCCCTTTATCCTTTAACTGTTAATCATTTTACTTTTTCACCTGTTTGAAAGTACATTCAAATGTCTCAGCTTCTATGTAGTATGCACTCATGAGAAAGAAAATTTTTCTTACGTCACCTCAGTACTATTAGGAATATTAACGTTAACATAGTTAATAAAATCAGTTTATAGTATGTATTAACTGTAGTAACTAGTACTACAGTATTAGCAACTACAGTTATTTCTTTTATTTTTTTTTTTTTGACAGGCAGAGTGGACAGTGAGAGAGAGAGAGAGAGAGAGAGACAGAAAGGTCTTCCTTTTGCCGTTGGTTCACCTTCCAATGGCTGCCGCGGCCGGCACACCGCACTGATCCGAAGGCAGGAGCCAGGTGCTTCCTCCTGGTCTCCCATGTGGGTGCAGGGCCCAAGCACTTGGGCCAACCTCCACTGCCCTTCTGGGCCATAGCAGAGAGCTGGCCTGGAAGAGGGGCAACCAGGACAGAATCCAGCGCCCTGACCGGAATTAGAACCTGGTGTGCTGGCACCGCAAGGCAGAGGATTAGCCTAGTGAGCCACGGCCCCAGCCGCAACTACAGTTATTTCAATAGTAACTCTTCTGTCCTCAAAATCTTACCAATTATTCCACTAATTTGTAGCAAAGAAAAAAGATGCAACAAGATTAGTTTGTATTTTCAAAGTCAAAATTCATAGTACAAAGTTCTACTTTGTGATAAGGGAGGTGGGGGTGGATAGTGGATTCTTACAAAGAATTTATATTTAGAAAAACATGCTAATCCCCATTTATGAAGGAAAGATCACATACCATCCCTCCTCCGAAAGAACGATCCCAGTTGCCAATCAGCGTGTTTGCAACCATGAGGCAGATTGTATCCGGATGTGCCCAACCAACAGCTTCCACAGCTATGGCAAGGTGTGCCAAAGGCATCTTGTCATCCCTCACACGAATCTAGTGAACATATAAACATCTCATTAAGATGACCATTACAGCACTGCTTACTAAGGAACGAACAGTCACATTAACTGCAGCGTTTAAACAGCTTATCATGACTAGTTTTTAACTAGCAGGCTTCATAAAACCTTTGTATGGTTTTATCTAGAAGAATTTCAAGAGTTAAGGAAAAATTACTTTCACCAAAAGATCTCAAAGTAAAATACAACAGCCAGCCATCAGATGGCTTACCTGGTCAAAAAAGATGGCATTTCACTGGTACAAATCCATCTTTTGGCACCTGAGTTTTTACAAACATACGAATGTTGGCATTGCAGATTTATTTTTGTACTACAGTTTTGAAGCTTCCAACTTAACACACCTCTTTCGAGGTACTACATCAAACATCTTTAAGTGGCAAAGTAAACCCTCCCTAGGGCTTAAAGCTGTTAACTGACAAGTGGCAGTTTCTCCGCAGCTTCTGGCTTTAACAGTTTCTACCCCTAGAAACGTATTGTGAGCAGAACTTAGAGAGTAAAACCTGATAGGAAAGTCAAAATTGGGGGCCTTTTTAATCCTACGATTACTTTTTTACCTTACTGCATACAAATGTGCATACTACCAAAGAAAAGCACAAAAAGACCAGGGCCGGCGCCGCGGCTCACTAGGCTAATCCTCCGCCTAGCGGCGCCGGCACACCGGGTTCTAGTCCCGGTCGGGGCGCCGGATTCTGTCCCGGTTGCCCCTCTTCCAGGCCAGCTCTCTGCTGTGGCCAGGGAGTGCAGTGGAGGATGGCCCAGGTGCTTGGGCCCTGCACCCCATGGGAGACCAGGAAAAGCACCTGGCTCCTGGCTCCTGCCATCGGATCAGCGCGGTGCGCCGGCCGCAGCGCGCCGGCCGCGGCGGCCATTGGAGGGTGAACCAACGGCAAAAAGGAAGACCTTTCTCTCTCTCTCTCTCTCTCACTGTCCACTCTGCCTGTCAAAAAAAAAAAAAAATAAAATAAATAAAAAAAAAAAATAAAAGAAAAGCACAAAAAGACCAAATTATAACACTGCTCTTAAAGTGTACCCTTCTGGTGCCGGCGCTGTGGCGCAGCAGTTAAGCCACTGCCTCCAATACCAGCATCCCATATGGGTGCCAGTTCGAGTCCCGGCTGTTCCACTTCCGATCTGGCTCTCTGTTATGGCCTGGGAAAGCCAGCAGAAGTTGGTCCAAGTACATGGTCCCTTGCACCCATGGGAGACCCAGAGGAAGCTCCTGGCTCCAGATCAGCTCAGCTTCTGGCAGCAGTTGTGGATATTTGGGGAGTGAACCAGCAGATGGGAGACCTTTCTGTCTCTCCCCCTCTGTAACTCTGCCTCTCAATAAAAATAAATCTTACCAAAAAAAAGAAATATGCATGCATGTGTGCTTGCTCTCACATGCATGTGCTTACAAATATATCTCAAAAGGGGATGGGCAGTGTAGTGGCATAGCAGGTGAAACCACTGCCTGCAATGCCAGTATCCCATATGGATGCCAATTCATATCCTGGCTATTCCACTTCCAATCCAGTTCCCTGTTAAGAACCTAGGAAGTGTGTGATCCTCTGCCGCCCATGTGGGAGAGCTGGATGAAGCTCCTGGGTTCAGCCTGGAGTGAACCAGCTGTTGAAAGATAACTCTCTGTAGCTTTTTCAAATATATATATATATATATATATAAATGCACATTTCATACACTCATTTATAAATAACACAAGACACCCAAAAGGTGAGGAAACTCTAGCCACAAGGCTTGCCCTACCTCACTTCCTGTGAATTTGCAAGGAGGCAGAGCTGGTACATCTCCTGTGTGTGTGCACAAAGAGTCACCAAAATGAAACTTCGCTAACTCAAGCAGTTCATCATGGGAAACACCTAAATTGAAGGAAAATATTTTCACATGTACCCAGCGGCAGGACAATCTGTTAAGACAACAAACTGCCAATACCTTGGTTCACAATCAACTGGTGGCACAAATGATACACATGAACTATGTACACTCAGTAAAAGCCATTTTAAGAGTAAGTTCACACCACACTTAATTTCTTTAGTGTTAATAAGGCCTAGGGTTGCACAGCTTTCTCATTCTGTAAAGCAGCTGACGGTTGTCATCAAGATACCAGTGTAGGGTATTGTCCCACAGCAGGTTAACCAAGTTAAGGAGCAGCTTGGGCCACCTGCATCCCATGTCCATGCCTGGGATTGAGTCCTGCCTCCAAACCTGCTTTCGATCCATCACACATCTTGAAAAGACAGCAGATGATACCTCAAGTACTGGGGTCCCTGCCTCCCATGTAGGAGACTAAGATGGAATTCCTAGCTCTTGACTTTGGCCAGGGCCAGATCGTGCATTAGCCTGCTGTGCCACAGCGCTGGCCCCTAACTCTGACTTTCAAATAAATCTTTGAAAAGACTATACAGGCCAAGGAACAAGTGCATAAGCCAAAATAAAACTCACTGCCCATATGCCACACTGGCTGTTGAGGTCTCACATAACCAAGAATTTCTCATCATTTTCAAAATAGTTGCCAATGTGTAAGAACCAGGGAACATCAGACATTTTGAAAACACTGTTACTAAAGAGAGTCCCAGAGTGCACTGCTGCCTTACAAAGGTGATTGAACTGGAAGTCACCACAGTGACATATTTGAGAGAACCTGAATTTTCATTTTCTCCAATACCTCCACATACTCAGCTCAGCAGGCCATCCAAGTTGACTAGAATTTTAACTTATTATGAAGGTACTTTAAAAAGTTTGTGGAGAATGGAACTAAAAATGAGTTGATATTGGTACAAAAAACCTTCTAAATCCATGCAGTTTTTTAATACACCTTTTCAATGCACTTTCTCAAGAACCCTCACATATGTGGATTTCAAATTTTGTTATCCCAAAGGAAACATCTTTTAATTCCACCCCACTAACAGCTTGAAATATGAAAACTGCCAGCTCAGACAGAATCTACTGTGAATTTTCTTTTATTCGCTGTCTTCAAACATGTCCACGAGAAATCCGATGCAACGTCCATGTCTGGGTTCCCATGAAATGTTCCATGAAGGCTCCCTGTTTCCCCTTCCTAGTAATTCACAGATCTATTAAATGAATTAACAAATGAAAGGAACGAGCAAAATCATTTCATTCCTCACCAGGGACGAAGCGATTTCTCAAGAATGAAGGCTCTCCAGATTGTCAAGCTGCAGAACACTGAGTTCCAAGTGTAACTTCTCCCAGTTCCCTCATTCACCCCCGTCTTACAAGTAAGTGGCTGTACACTGACGTGGTGAATAGTTCATTAAGTTTTTCTATAAGTGAAACCCACTAAAAAGAAGACAGTCTTATTCCACTGTTCCACATTCCCTTTAGACAGAATATAGTTGGCTCTAAATAAAGCTTTTGCACATCTCCCCCAAAAGGATCAGAGTGACTCTGCATACCACTCAACACCTGCATCTAAAACATGCAGCAAATATTAAATTGACTAACCTCCAGCCGCAGCAAGCACTATTCTCGGGCCCTTATAATGGGTGGTGATATAATCCACCAAGTCCTTACGATTTATAGACCTGTAGATGGAGTAGATAAAGCAACTGTAAAAGGAAATTTTAAGCAGCACAGATCTTTATGTAATACACCTGAAATCAAAGACGACCTGAAAGGTATCCTAGAGTTAAATGAAGTCAGCAATAGAATATGGGGTAGGTGGGGGGCAAGCATCCAGCTCCGATACCACTTGGGACACCCGCATCCCACATCCGACTGCCTGGCTCTAGTCTCAGCTCCTCCATTTCTGAGCCAAGCCTGTGATGGCTCAAATACTTGGGTTCCTGCCATGTATGTGGGAGACCCAGATTGGGTTGTGGGCTGCTGGCTTCAGCTTGGCCCAGCCTCAGCTACTGTGGGCATATGCCAGCAGATGGAAGCTCTTTTTCTCTCTTTGTGTCTCTCCATGTCTCTCTGCCTTTCAAGTAAAGAGAAAATAATTTAAATAAAAAATTAAGAACAGGATGTAAGTACTGAAGAACTTCAGGCAGTGAGAATTTAGCCTAGTGCTAAGACACTGGAGTACCTGGGTTCAAGCCCCGGCTCCAACTCCCCAGTCCAGCTTCCTGCTAAGGCAGACCCTGGGAGGTGGCAGAGACAGCTCAAGTAATTGTGTCCCTGTCACCGAAGTGAGAGACCTAGATTGAATTTCCACCTCGTGACTTTGGCCTCAGCCCAGCCCTTGACATCACAGATATTTGGCAGTGAACCAGTAGATGGAGGAGGAGGAGGAGGCGGCAGAGGAGTGCTCGCTCTCACCCTGTGCTTCTCAAATAAAAAAATAATAAAAAGCTGTCAACATTCTTACAGCAAGGAAAAAGATTCAGCATGATTACATCTTTACTCCAGACGTACACCTGGGAATTAAGTGAAGTGGCGCTAACTACAATTTCACTGGGTCATCAGGGGCAAAAGTGACTTGGAAACATACTTTAGGAATGTTCCTTTTCACAACTCACAATTTTTCCCAGAAAACTGAATCTGAGAATTGCACCTACTTGATATTCTCAGTTGGTCCCAGAATTGTCCGACCGAGTGCAGTATTTTGATAAGCTGTGGCATGAAGATAATCAAAAACAACTTCCTGTAAATTAGTTTCCACTTCCTGCATCTCTCTGAGGATTACGCCACGCTCACGTTCAATCTCGGCTTCTCCCAATGTGCTGTTCTGTATTATATCAGCAAGGATTTCTACAGCTAATTGAAATAAAAACACACACACACACACACACTAAAAATCTTAACTCTCACTATTAAAATCTCTTTAAACATCAGACCCCATGATCCCATCCATCAATTCAATATGGACTAAATGAGTAATCTGGGGAGAAACTTTCCCATTCAGTGACCCTAAAGGACACCACTACGATGGAAAGGTCAAAGCCCTGTGGCATAAAGAGCTTGAAGAATCCTCGAGTCACCCTCGCTTTGCAATAGGCCCACCTACTACAAAAGTGCTAAGGAAACTGCACGTTAACATACAGTGCTCTGTATGAAACGCAAGGTTCCAGACTGTTATCTCTAACAGTCTGAGAACAGTCAGGTATGCACAGAGGGTTCAATCACCCAAGCACTTACTATTCAAGTGCCCACAGTAGTGAGGCTGCTTTACAAAGGAGTACAGAATGAATGCAAGCTAACATAAGCCCCCAATGACCCAGTAACGTAATTACGTCCTCTCCACACTACTGTGCAAAAAGCAAAAACTGAGGTGAAGGGTGTCTTATCAAACTATTAAGCAATTTTATCAGAAAAACCACATCCCTTCCCAAAAAATAAAAGTTTAAAGAATGAGTACATAACTGCGATCACAACCTAAATGCTATTAAACACAAAATAAAATCTAAAGATTTCATTTTCTTACTCAATCGTGACCTTTTGTTCTTTGTTTTAAGATCACTTAAGGAGCCTTATCTCAAAGTCACTTAAGTTCAAATACCAAGAACTTTAGAAAACAGACTTTAAGAGTAAGCTGGGACTGAGATGACCAGCAAAGAGGGGGAAAATCTATAAAAGCAGTAAAATCCTCTGTCTAGATGAGAGAACCAGAGTCCAAGAATGGTGAGGAAGAGCCTGCAGCCAGACAAGAGGACAAGATTAAGCAATGGGGTCAGGCACTGTGGCGCAGGGGGTCCAGCCTCACTGGGACACCGCATCCCTTAATGGAGTGCTGGTCTGAGTCCCAGCTACTCTGCTGTCAATCCAGTTTCCTGTTAATGCAATCTTAGGAGCCAGCAGATGATGGCAAATGGCTAAGTGCCTGCCACCTGCAAGGTAGCCCTGCGACACTGGCATTCCACATGAGGGCCACACAGAGGCCCTGGCTGTTAAGATTCTGATCCAGCTCCCAGCTAATACACCCGGGAAGGCAGCAGAAGATGGTCCCAGTCCTTGGGCCCCTGCGACCCACATGGGAGTGAACCAATGAATAGCATCTCTTTGTCTCTGCCTTTCAAACAGAAAAGGAAATGGGCCAGCACGATGGTATGGCTATGTGGCTTTCGTCTACCCTCCTGGTTGTGCGTTTGGGAAGGCAGCAGAGGATGGCCCAAGTACTTGGGTTCCCGCAACCCACGTGGGAGAACGGGATGGAGCTGCACGCTGCTGGCCTCCCCCTGGTCCCACCACGGCTGTTGCTTCCATCTGAAGAGTAAACAAGTGGACAGAAGATCTCTCTCTCTCACTCTGCCTTTCAAATAAATTTTTAAAAATACAAAATTTTAAAAAGCAGACATGTAAAACAGTACAAACATAGTAACTACAAAAAATGCTATACTATTCTGTCAAAATAACTATTTTAACAAAATATAAAAAAAAAAAATCTACTTGACTGTAAGTAAACATGTGCTTATTTTGCCCAGAACCAATAGTGTTTGTTACAAACAAGGAATGAAAATGATTTTGAAAGTTTTCCCACAGAGGTATGGGAAAGTGTTCCTCAAGTGTTAGGCCTGTAAGCACAAGTCTTTAGGCCTGTAAATATTTAACATCATTTGCCTTATGAGAAGAAAAAAAACTCAGCACAGCTGCCTTCTCACCAGAGTTTGATCTCCCCTTTTTCTTCCATATTTCTGGAGGTTACAGACATAATCAAAGTCATGCTAAATTATCTCTGAGCCCTGGAAGGTAAAGTCTGCATCACCCACAGTACAAGTAATAGCAGTACCTCTTGGCAAATCTTTGGAGAACGCTTTGGCATAATACACAGTCTGCTCCCTGGAGGTATAGGCATTGAGGTGTGCACCCATGTTTTCTATCTCGAGTTCCAGATCTAACTGGGATCTCTTTTTGGTGCCCTTGAAACAGAAGAAGAAAAACAAGTTACGACTCCTCTCTTCATCCTTCGTGCATTCTGAACCTCCAAACCAGGGGTTCGGAGGACATCTGCCAGCGTCAGCTTCTTGCAAGGACAAATCTGGTTCTGAAGTGCACAATGCAGAAGTGGCCTACGTTCAAACAACCCTCGTGCCCGGGGAAAACCCTCGTTTCAGCTTCCAGAGCCGAGATCAGTAATCATTTCAGATACTGTCCTAGAAAGCAAACACAACACACGCTCTGCTGCGAAAGCAGTTCTTCACTGTGAAAGGATGAACTCCCGCCGTTACGAAGTCTCAGAGAAGGCGAAACCTCCTGTCCAGTCCTACCACTTGCCTTGAAAGCCATGTGCTCCAGAAAGTGGGCTGTCCCGTTATTCTTCTCATTTTCGTATCGACTTCCAGCGTCAATCCACAGCCCAACCTTAACGCCAGCAAAACACAAGTAAGCAACAACAGCCTTCGTTATTTCTCTGGACGAGGGGAGGTTCCTTCCCTTTTCTGACAAATGCTTTCAGTTATTAACATTAAGGTTTTCTTACTTGACTGAACTGAGTTCAGTCCTATGATTTAAATGTTTACCATCCGGCTACTAATATCCACCACCAGTTTCAAGTAAGAACTTAGGTTCTCAGCCTAACTCATGACTACAGCCAATTAATAATGGTGGAATGAATAACACTGGAGGCTGTCAGAAAACTGAGCTCAAATCCTGGATCAAATCTTAGCTCTGTGACCTTGGACTAAACCAAGATTCTCAGAATCTGCTTCCTCCACTACAGACTATGTGGGTTGAGGCCTGCTACCAAGAACTGTTTCAACAATCAAGTAAGAAATACTACTTAATTATTTGTCAAACACCTGGCACCCAGGAGGCTGGCCCTCTTTCATTATTCTCAATACTGCTAGCAATAAACACCATACTAGGCTACAGGAACCAGATGCAGATCGTGAACCAGGGTTCTGAACTCAAGGGGCACCCGTCAAGCAAACCACCACCAGCCAACCGAACAGCTAAAGCTTCGACTCAGCAGTCTGCCCTCTCCCGAAGGAGGCGGCCCTCCGAGAAGGGAGCCTGGTCACGTACGGTGCACGTGGACAGCCCCGAGTCTTCCGAGGCCACTCGGAGTCCGTTTTCCAGACGCGTCACTCGGGTCTCGGGGACGTTGAGAACAACTTGCGGTGCAGCCTGTGTACTTCTCCACCTGCTCCCTCCAAAATGCGGGGGCTGGTCGGGGGTGGGACAGAGGAAGCAAAACATCTTTACTATTCTTATCTTAGAGGTCAGTTAGAAAACCAAACCTTGAGCCAGCACACATCAGAGTGCCTGGCTTCAACTCCCGCCTCCCCCCCCCCCCCCTCACTCCAGCCCTGGGAGACAAAACCAGACTTGGGCCCCTGCCACCTCCTTTCCCAGCTTCAGGATGGCCTGGTCCCGACCGCTGTGGGCAGGTGGAGAGTGAACCAGCGCTCTCGCTGCCTCTCGAAGACAAACATCCCACCTCCCCTCCCCCATCTACAGCCAAAGGGAGGCAACCTGGAGACACCCGCCCCAAACCAGCCACTCTCCCAAAGCCGGCAACCCGACGGGAAGATAAGCCGTGCCTAGCAATACGGAGAAACTGATACTATATTAATTATTATCCAGGAATGTCTCGGATTCGTTCCTGCGAAAACAAAGGTGGGCGGAGAGGGCAAAAAAAGAGAGAGAGAGAAAACTACCCACACACAACACAGGAAGGAAGGAGACTCGAGGTTTCCCTGTTCGCGAAAAGGGATGGGGAGCGGGAGCAGACAGGACACCAGGGCGGAGAAGGCATCCGCAGCCCCGGACTCCGAGCCTCGGGCTGCTGGCCTGGCTTTTCCTCTGCACACAGGTGAACGCCCCACACGCCCTCGGAGACGAGAAAAAGGCAATCGCACACTGAATTCTGCCTCCAGCTCCCCCGAGGCCCCGGGCACGCGCAGCCGAGCCCAGCAGGCCTGGCCCGACCCGCTGTGGGACCCTGTCCAGCCCAGCCGAGGGGAGCTCACCCGCCCCGCGGCATCCCGCACCAAGAGTTTCTCGGCGAACCCCCAGAGGCGCCGCCGCGCCGCGGGCAGAAGCACCCCTCGAGCCGCAGCCACCGCCGCCATGTCTGCTAGGGGCAAAGGGGAGGGTGTGCTTCCGGGGTCGTGACCCGAGGTCCAGACACAGCAGGCGGGCCCCACCTTGTGGCCATAGTGAGAACGCCACCCTTGGAAACCGCCGTGGAAGGCAAGCGGGCGGTTGATGCTTAACTGTTTCCACCAAATCGATTCCACGGAGCAGTCCGCAAACCCCTTATATATTCAAATATATATATTTGAAAGGCAGAGTGACACGGAGAAGGAAGCATGAGATCTTCCAACCACTGGTTCACTGCGCAAATGACCACAAGGGCCGGTGGGGCTGGGCCGGGTGGAAGCCATGAGCCAGGAAATCCATCCGGATCTCCCAAGGACTTGAACCTGCGCACGTCAGCAGGGACTTGGATTGAAAGCAGAGGATGTAGGACTTGAGCCCAGGCACTGCAATATGTGGTGTGTCCATATCTTCTCACAGTGCTGGGGAGATGGACACTGTACAGGCTTTGTCAGAATCCTGCTGGTGGGACTGGACGTGGTTGGTTTCTGAGTTCTTTCCCCTAATGAGTCTTGCCTACCTTAGAGCTTCACCTCACCATGGTCCCCTCTCTTTCATCTTCCTGTGCTCTCTTCCCACTATGAGGTCCATACTATTACTATGCTCATTTTACAGACGTGGAAACTGAGGTGCAATGACTTACTCAGGGTTCTGCTGTTCCAAGATGCCCCTCTGAAACACTTCGGCATTTGGTCCTAAGACGCGGCGCTGCCCAGTATTCTGGGCCATCCTCCCTCAGGACTTCTCTTCCTCCTGAGGATCTGCCCACCCAACTCGGGCTTTTTGAGCTCCAGACCCACTTAAACGTTGACTGCTGGACAACTGCCTTTGAATATCCCACGGACACCTCAATGTCAAATTCGCTGTCTTGTCCCTAAATCTCTCCCTGTGTTTCAATGCTCAACAGCCAATGGTACGCCCCTCCATTGACTCAGACACCCAAACCAAGAACTGGGGTGTCACCCTCAGCTCCTCCCTTTTCCCAGCACCCACATCTGCTTCATACACCCTTTCCAGACTCTCCCATCTGCCTGGGCTCCATTTTCCCACATCGCCATCTATGGGACCTTTTAGAGTATGACAGCCCGGTCCTAAAAAATCCTCCAGGAATTCCCCTTGGTCAGGCATGGCCAATAGAGAGCCCTTCAGGACTGATTCCCAGTTACCTTCTGCAACTCATCTGTCTCCTACCCGCTCTGCTATGGCTCAGAGGATCAGCACATTAGATCTATTGTCTTGTAAAGGACAGTGAAGGTCATGCTCTCACGTTTCTAAAACATGTGTGTGTGTTAACCATAAACAAACCATGCCTACATCCAAGAAGCACCTGGGAAAAGTGTAGCAAGAATTTGTGTACGACTTTGAATATAATCCACTTTATGAGTTTGTTATGGGTTGTTAACAGTCAATATCTTAGACCACAAAACCTACAGGAATTAAGTGTGCAGAATGAAACCCAAAAAAGTACTTAACTGTTACCAAAATGATCCTATACTCTCACCAGTACCTATCACTTTTTTTAAAGATTTATTTATTTGAAAGGTAGATTTACAGACAAAGATGGAGAGACAGAGAGAAAGGTCTTTCATCCACTGGTTCAGTCCACAATTGGCTGCAACAGCCGGGGCTGGGTCGATATGAAGCCAGGAGCCAGAAGCTTCTTCCTGGTCTCCCATGCGAGTGCAGGGGCCCAATTTCTTGGGCCATCTTCCACCACTTCCTCAGGCCATTAGCAAAGAGCTGGGTCAGAAGAGGGGCAGCCAGGACTTGAACCAACATCCATATGGGATGCCAGCACCACAAGAGGAAGCTTAGCCTACTATGCCACAGCACTGGCAAGTACCCACTACTGTTAGGCCCTCACATACCTGAATAAGATTTAGTGTTGTCCCCTAGGTCCATGCAATCATGTTTTGAAGACAGCATTGATAATTAACATACTTCACCTATGTCTTTTATATCTAGATAATTTTTTAAAGTTTTTTAATTCCATCAATAAATGAGAGAGAGATATACCTTCCAACTGCTGGTCTACTCTCCAAATGTCTGCAACAGCCAAAGCTGGGCCACACCAGTGCAGTCAGAAGCCAAGAGCCCAGAACCTAATCCAGGCCTCCCACGTGCTTGGCAAGAATCCATCCTAGGCTCTGCGTTAGCAGGAAGCTGGAATGCGAAACAGCTGGGACTTGAACCCAGACACTCTGATATGGATTGAGGGCATCCATACAATATCTTAACTGCTGCCTCAAAGCCCTGCCCCTAAGCGCACTTTTGTTTCCCTTCTGGTAAGGCACAGAGTTAAAGATTGGACATGAGAAGGGGGAGGACAGAACAAAGGAGAGAAAGCATCGTCTGTGATAAGTTATTGGCAAAGGAGCTGAGCAGCTACCAGGAATCTGAATGTTTATAAGAACATCTGTAGTGATAATTTTTTACTCCTGGGGGGGGGGGCTCCAATCGAAAAGGAAACAAAGTTGCTAAGCCTTCGCTGGACAAGGCCGCTAAGCCTTTGCTCGAGTTTGCTGCACTTCCGCATCCCAGTGACTCAGCGTTTCCAACAATCCAAGATGGCCCCCGGGGGAGGTACCTAGCCTGACAGGAGACTTCCGTATTTGTGGACAGTATGTGTTCTCGGCTGTGATTGGCCCTTGAGGGCGTGCCCGGCTCGTGTCCTACCTTACCTTTCAGCTGGTTGGCTCGGTTCCCTTGTGCCTTGGACAGACCCCTTTCTGTGTCTATAAAAGCTTTTCCCCCTCCCAATAAAGTCGAGAACCCGGCTGCGCCCTGGGCGTTGACTGATCTCCTGGCTCTGGTGTGGTTCCTTTGCCACCGACACTCATCATCCCGCTCAGCCCCCGAGCTCCCCAGGCTGGCCCTGAGGAGCTCTATCGGACCTGCTGCCCCGTGACAAGCAGCATACTGCAGAAGATTTTTTCTAAGGCTATTGCCTTGGGGCCAGCTCTGTGGCATAGTGAGTAAAACCCCCAACACTGGCATCCAATAAGCTCTGGTTCAAGACCCGGATGCTCTACTTCTGATCCAGTTCCCCACTGATGCACCTGGGAAAGTGGTGCAGGATGGTCTCTCTCTCACTTGCTCTCGCTCTCTCTGTAAATCTGCCTTTCAAATAAATATGCAAATAAGTAAATATTTATTTAAAAAAAAACTATTGCCTTGTTCAAAGGAAGGGTGGTGGATGGAGTTGACTAGAAAAAAGGGTATATAAATATGCACATATTAATTTAGGATATCAGAGAAGAGAGCAGAGCAAGAACTCTGAAGGTTCTCTCTGCCATAAAATAATTGAAAAAAAAAACTGGTGAAAATAATCATCAGAATCAACATTTTCTTTCTTTTTAAAGAGATATTTATTTAAAAGAATAAAAGAGAGGGAGAGTCAAAGAAAGAGCCCCCATCTGCTAATTTTTTCTCCAAATGGCTGCAACAGCCAGGGCTGGGTCAAGCCAAAGCCAAGGGTGAGGAATTCCATCCAGGTCTCCCACATAGGTGGCAGGGGTCCAAAGACTTGGACCAGGTGCATTAGCAGGGAGCTGGATGGGAGGTGGAGCAGGTTGGACTCAAACCAGCATGCACAGGGGATGCCAGCATCGCTATGTCATGATGCTCACCTCTTCAGAATCAACATTTTCAAAACTCTGGACATCACAAAAAACAAAACAAAACAAAACAAAACAAAACAAAACTGAGCAATCTGGGGAGTATTTGTTCAACAAAAGCAGCTAAATTTGGGGCAAGCATTTAGCCTAGCGGCTAAGATGCCTGCATCCCACATTCAGTGTGTGAGTTCAGTTCCCAGCTCTGGCTCCCGACTCCAGCTTCCTGCCAATGCAAAGTGTAGGAGACACGGCCTGCCAGGGTCTGTGTTAGCAGGAAGCTGGAGTCAGGAGACAGTATATCAAACCCAAGCATTGCAATATGGAATTCCAGAGTCTTAACTGGTTGTCTTAAAAATTAGGTCAATCACCCACCCCATAAAAATGTGTTCAAACTTTATTAAGATATTTTTTATTTGAAAGGCAGAATTAGAAAAAAGAGAGGGAAACACAGAAAGATATCTACCATCCATTGGTTTACTCCCCTGAGTGACCACAAAGGCCAAGACTGGGCCAGGATGAAGCCAGGAGCCTGGAACTCCATCAGGTCTCCCGCATGGGTGTCAGGGGGCCAAGTACTTGGGCCTTCCACCACAGCTTTCCCAGGTGCATTATCAGGGAGCTGGGTCAGAAGCCGAGCAGCCAGGACATGAGCCTGTGCCCACATGAGATGCCAGCATCGCAGGCAGCCGCTTAACTCACTGTGCCCCAACACTGGCCCTCATGTGCTCCAACTTAAACAGTAGCTCTTGACCCCTAGCTTTGAAAGATAAAGGCATTTGCGACCTTACATTTCCTCTGACTTCATTTCTCCACCTCTTGATGTCGCATAGCCGTTGTTCGTATCTATAGAGTACAATGTAGTATTTCCATGCATGCATAAAATGTATAATATAAGATCAGGGTAACTGGCCTGTCAATGACCTCATCTATATGTCATTCCTTTCTTGGGAACATTCAAAATCCTCTCTTCTAGCTCTTTTGAACTATGAAATTAATCATCACCAACCATAGTTATCCTACTGTGATTAGAAGATTAGAAGTTCTTCCTTCATACTTTCTAAATTTATATTTATTAAAAAAGCATTTTTAAAAAATTTTTTGACAGGCAGAGTGGACAGTGAGAGAGACAGACAGAGAGAAAGGTCTTCCTTTGCTGTTGGTTCACCCTCTAACGGCCGCCGCGGCTGGTGCACTGCTCTGATCCAATGGCAGGAGCCAGGTACTTATCCTGGTCTCCCATGGGGTGCAGGGCCCAAGCACTTGGGCCATCCTCCACTGCACTCCCTGGCCACAGCAGAGAGCTGGCCTGGAAGAGGGGCAACCGGGACAGAATCCGGCGCCCCGACCAGGACTAGAACCCGGTGTGCCGGCGCCGCAAGGCACAGGATTAGCCTAGTGAGCCGCGGCGCTGGCCTA